ATCGCGGTACTGTTCTGTTGGGTATTGATGCCAATGCTGACTTTACGGGCCGTGATGAGGAAGAGACCCTCGTTGGCGACCTTCTTAATCTCCGCCCAGCCAGGCTTGGTGACGATCTCCTTCTTGCCTGTGCTCATGACACGGCGCTGGCTGCCCCTGGCACTTGGTCTGAGGTCTGCACTGGACCCACTTGGACCTGGCAGCACACAGGCGGTAAGACCCAACGCTTGGACCACTTGCTTATTACCCATGGCACTCGGGTCTCTCAGTATCGCCAATTTCCTGAATTTGATATCTTGAATGGCGAAGCAAGGGATCATATGCCCATTGTCATTTCTGTTGACGTCTCCGGGAAGTCAGCAGGTAAAATGCATCCACGCTGTCCCTACTCGGCTGACTCCGGTGCCGCTGTCGCGGAAGCTGTCTGGGACGCTCTTCACCAGTCCACACCTGGTAGTAGTGCGGAGAGAGTTCAGCAACTTTGTGCTGCCCATGCCCGTGCGATCCGCTGCCTTCCTGCCCGGCCCCCTCTTCAAAAACGGCAACCTTATCTGTCCGAAGTTGCTGCTGGCCTTCTTGACACTCTTCGTGACGCACGGGCCGAGGTTAGGCGGCTTCGCACCCTCTATCACCGGCAACTCTGTTTGGTTGCCTTTCGGGCATGGTGCCGCCGCCGCGTTGAGTCCCCGGCCCTGCCATGGGAACTTCATCAGGTTCGCATGATGATGGCGCATTTTGCACATGTTTGTTTCCGCCTTCGAGCTCAGGCTCATGCACAGGCACGGCTTGATAAGCAGGCCTACTTCGAATCCATGCTCCTCGGCGCAGTGGATCACTGGCATGCCACCGGGCGCCCTCTCGAGGCGGTGGCCAAGCTGTCTTGGGCGTCCAAAGGTGCCAAGCAAAAACGTGATGTTAGGGCCGCAAGTGGGTTTGACATCGATGAGCAACTCCAGCTACAATTCCAGCAGCAGGAAGATGGCCGCCCGGTGTCGGATGCCCAATTGAGCGCGGCCTTTTCTCTTTGGGCTGCTGAACCGCGTGGCGTTTGTCTTTCAGCCTTACCCACCCTTCTTGACGTTGAACACATGTGTCGACTCCAGCGCCGAGGCAAGGCCCCTGGCCCGGATCACATTCGTAATGAGGTCTGGCGAACCCACCCCGATCGCGCAGGCCGATGGTTGTGGCCTATGTGGGTTCACCTCGCTTGGGGCGAGGCCGAGCCACTTCACTTTAAAGCTTCTACTGTGGGAGCTCTCCACAAAAAAGGCCCAGCTCACATTCCCGCCAACTTCCGGTCCATTGCCATGCTGAACGGAGTGGCTAAGTTGTGGCACTCCCAACTTCGGGCCACCCTGGGTCAGGAAGTTATTGCTCACTACTTTCCGACCCAGCTCGGGGGTAGGCGAGGCGTTGACACCGGCCTTGCCCTCACTGTCTTCCGCTCAGCTGTCGACTTGGCTTCCGTTCATGGCCGGTCTTGGGCTGCCTTGTTTGTCGATATTCAGGCCGCATATTATGAGGCAGACCGAACTTTGCTTTTCCACGGTCGTGACCTTGAACCAGCTCTTGCGGGCCTGCAGCTGCCTCGTCATGTTCATGGCCTGATTCAGGATGGCGTCCTAGCGGGTCTCGGGGTTCCCGCTGACCAGATTGCTCTCCTGCGTGACTGCGTTGAATGCTCGTACTGGCGCCTTGTCGGCCAGCACCAAGCTATTATGGCAGGTCGAGGGTCCCGGCCCGGGGACGGACTGGCCGATGTCCTGTTTGGAGCCTTGTTCGCAGTGATTTTGCAGTGCCTCCATTTTGCGCTCAAGGCCGAAGAAATAGTTCATGCCACTTCCTCTGATGCTCTTGGGCGACCTGATGCGTCCCTTCAAATCGCATGGGCTGATGACCTTTGCCTGCTTGTTGATTTCATCCGAGCCACTTGGGCTGTCTCGAAGTTGCGTCGCCTTTGCACTATTGTTCTCCAAGTTTTCGAAGCCTTTCGGTTCCGCGTCAACCTTGGAGCAGGTAAGACCGAAGCGCTCGTTCACCTGCAAGGAGCAGGGGCTAATGTTGCCCGCAAGGATCTCTTAACCCCTGAGCCCCTTCTTGCCCTCAGTGATGGTAGAGGCATTAGGGTAGTCCCTGAATATAAGTACCTTGGGGTTGTGCAGCGCTGTCGTGACACTGGTCGACGGGATGTCGAGGCCGCCGCCGCGCGTGGCAACTCTATCTGGACTCAAGCCTCTGGACTTGTCCATTCTGAGAAGTTGCCGTGGATGCTCAAGTCCGTATGGCTGCAGGGAAGGACTCTCCCTGCCGCGTACTCCTCCCTTGCCACGACTTTAGCTCGTTCTGACCGAGCTTGGGGACCCCTGAATGGTTTCTACGACAAATGCCTTCGCCAGCTCGTTGGGTCTTGGGATGCTGGGCACCATGTGGCCTCAGTCCAACTGCGAGCTTGTACGGGGGTTCTTGATGTTGAATGTGCTACGGTTATCGCTCGTGTGCGCCTGCTCTGCCGCATTGCCTCGGGCCGTTCCCCTGAGGTCTTTGAATTGTTCCAGGCCAGCTGGGATCGCGGCGGGGAATGGTCTTCCCTCCTTGCGGACGCGGTGCGGCGTGTTTGGCCGGCCTGTGGCCTACCGGCACTCCAGACAGGCGAGCCTACCCTACTCTGTGTGCGCCGGCATACCAAAGAGATCCTCTCGGCCTGTCGCCGGATCAGTCGGTCCGGCACTATGCTGTTGGCTCTCCATCGGGCGTGGAGAAGTCATGGCGGTCCGCCAGCCAAGCGGGTGATTGGTCTCGCGTCCCCTCACATATGCCCGGAGTGTGGTGCGACTCTCCCTTCGGCCCATGCCTTAGCGGCGCATGCCCATCGACTTCATGGGCGCGTTGCTCTGTGCACCCAGTACACGTTGGGGACGACCTGTCTGTGGTGTATGGTCGAATTCCATAATGCTGCACGTCTCCGGTACCATCTTTTGCACTCACCGAGCTGCGAGCACGGGCTTCGGTGCTGTGTTGGCCCTGTATATGAGTATGGTACAGGCACCAAACGCCGCGGCAAACAGGGCCATGCCAGGGCCCCGGTTTTCCGCGTTGCAGGCCCGTGTAATGCTACCGCGGCACAGCGTCGTGCCGCCGAGGAGGGGCGTTGCTGTACGGATGAGGAGCTCGCTGCTGAGTTACGCACTATCGCCCCTGGTCCGGGCTTCTCTGAGGGCACTCGCTCCTCTCCTGTTGTGCCCTTTCGCCGTGCAGGTGGTTACTCTACTCTTCCCCCTGGTGAAGAGGCTAGTACGATCTCGTGCCCTGAGGTCTTGCGCTCACCACTGGCTCCTGTTGCTTTCCCCACCGGAGCTTTTGACTTTGGTTCACCCACCACCTCGGTTCGGCTCCCCTCTGTCGATACCGCGGCTGCCACTGCTTGGTACCAGACGCATCCAACGGAAGGGTTCTGCACTGTCTATTGTTTCGACGAGGCCCCTGGCGCCTCGTCGTTCTGCGTCCCCTCTTGCCGGTGGTGTGCGGTGCCTCCAGCCATCTGGTGTCTCCCGCCATCGTGGGGGCGGTGCTGGAAACTCTTTCTTGCCCTGGAGTCGCTACATCCGTGGGCAGCTGAGACTTGGAGACTGTCTGCCTTTCTGCGTCAGGAGGAACGCCCCTCTCCAAGCGCCGCACTCGGATGCTTGACATGCCTTGAGCAGATCGCGGCACAGCGGATCCTTTTCCTGCGGCGACTGCTCACCTGTCTCCACTTGCTTCGTCAGCTTAAGGCTGGGGCTGCTCTGTGGTGCGCTGTTCCCCTGCCTGGCGCCTTCTGGGAACTTCTGCGCCGTGTCGTACCTCACGCTGTGGGTACATCGGCTGTCGCCGTGCTTGGTTTTGGCACTGTCGTTAGCCTCCCTGCGGTCGCCCCGCGGGCTCTTTCCTCTCTTGCTTCGGGCTGGCTCTCTTTGGCCTCTCCCCGTCGCTTGGCGATGCCGCATCAGCTTCCCTTGTAGTTTTGCGGTCCGAGCCCTTACGCCTGAGGCGTAGGTCTCGCTCCGCCGTCTTTTCGCTTTGCATGTAGGGCTGTAAGTTCCCGCTTTTCCAGGACCGCGGCCTCGCCGCTTTTCGGTCCGTCTCGTCTCTTGCACAGGACTAGAACCTTCTACGCAACGAAGAAGAAGAGTGTAGGGTTTAGGAATTAGGGTGTAGGGTTTAAGGGGTTTAGCCAGATGCTTCTGAAGTCTTTGGTTCTGGGATTGACCCTAAACCCTGACCCGATTGTGGGGCTTCCCGCAACAACGGGCTCTTCATCAATGCTTGCATGCCTCCTAAAACCTATACGATACGGGCCTAAATGAGTACCCATACAATTTTTTGTTTTTTTGGGGGTCCTTATTATGTTTGTATTATAACCGGCCCACAAAGCCTCTTCTACTTGTTAAGGCCCCTACATTACCTAAACCCTGCCGACCGTACCAAACCACGCATAGCTGTTAAGGCGCCAGACCCACAGCGCTGCTTGAAGGTTGAAGGAGTTTAGGGTTTATAGCAAGGTTTGATTTAGGGTTCACGGTTCAGAACTTTCAGGTTTAAGGTTTGGGTCTTCGGGATACCGACCAGCATGTCCAGGCAGCGACGACTAGAGTTGAGGGTTTAGGGTTTCGGTTAAACCAGCTTCGTGGTCCGCATAGGGACAAAACCAACTTCAATGATGATTTGAGACAACCATATACCATAGGCCAACCCTTGCCCCATAGCTCCTCAAACAGCAGACGGCTCAAATCATGACTGGCCGTTGCTGCAGTAGCACCCTTGAAGTTGCCTGCTTTATACAGGTGTCGGAAGAACCTGCAAAGCCCCCTGCTAATTCTTGTGGCCCCGATATCAATTAAGACAGGTGCTTCTGAGGAGGGGGACAATATGGAGGCCTTTATAATTAGAATACCCCCAAAAAACATGTAAAGGTAATTACTTAGGCCCCTTTAGTAGTTTCTACTTCGCAGACATCCTCCAAGGTGAAGGATCAGTACCCCGCCCAGTACTACGATCGCTACTATGACTTGGGTTACTACAGCGATGCGTACTACTATGGGAAGGCCGGGCAGCGAGAGCCGCTTTTGGGGGGGGGGTTGGGGGTTTGGGTTTAGGGACTCCTCGACCCTAAGGAACCTACCTTTTTAGGGTTCCGTATTATGATTTCTTTATTTATACTAGTCCATAAAAAGGTAGGCTATTTGGGGTTAGGGACTTATGTGTGTCGGGTTTAGTGGTTTAGGGTTTGGGGTTTTCTATGGCAAGGACATACACAAGACAATCCGATAGGAGCTTACACGTCTTTCTTCGCCGGAAGTTTGGGTCTCAAGCTTCGGTTTCATATCCCGAACTGTTGTCCTTAAAACAAAGCTGGACTGTCAAACCCTAAACCCCTAAACCTAAAACCCTAAACCCTTAACCCTTAAACCCTAAACCCTAATTGACTACGGTTCATGGGCACGTGTTTCGGTCTTGGGACCTGAGCATAATGATCGCCTGCATTCCCAGCCCGATACCTGAAGAACTTGCTGTACTTGGAGGTTCATGGGTAGTTAGAACTAGGGCCATAAGTATGGTTCCTTAAATGGGATCTATTGGATTCTAGGACCAGGATTTCTTAATCAGGTTCATACGCTAATAATTCTAATCCTTGAACTCCTTAGACCACCCCCCACCCAAAGGGTCATATGTATACACCGACATAGTAGGATGTCGGGTTCTCATATTAAGAATTGCGATTATGCGTTAGGGAAGCATCCCCCATTGCAGTACATAGGACCCTTTGGGAGATTGCTTACCCTGAGGCTCCATAGTAGTTCCTTTTTGGGGTTCAAATTTAATACTCTATAAGGATATCCCCAAAAGGAATATGGCCAGACGCTCCAGATTACTCAGAACCTCCGCAGCTGCGGTCAGAAACCACTAGCCCTGGGCATGGTAGCATGGTTTACCTATAGGGCTTTAGGGTTTAGGGTCTATAGGGTTTAGGGTTTAGGGGTTTAGGTTTAGGGGTATAGGGCTTACCTGTAGTCTCCATTGTAGTTCCTTTTTTTGGGGTTAACCAAAAACTCTCTTATTGGATCGTGACCAGAAAATTGGTTAATCAGAAGAAGGAACTGCAATGGAGACTTTAGGTAGGGAAGGGGCCCAAGTAGTTACCTGCACTATTTTCCCTATTCCGATGAAATTATTAAGGCCCTACCCTATCCCTCCAAGGACCTCATAGTTAGGGCCCTAGACCCCTTAAGGACCCCATAATAAAGTCCCTGGAGGGATAGGGCTATATTAGTGTTGATGGTTCTAGGGCTCATTAGCATGAGGGTTTATAGTGTTTACGGTCTGGAAGTATGTAGGGTTGAGGGTGTAGGTCCGCCTGAAACGATGTGACCGTCCGCCGCGACGCCAATACTAAGTCGCTAAGTTGTCCAGCATGCACCTTATGTTGCAGATATCTTGCCTTCCAATAAGCGTAAACCCTACCTAGCCCCACCCTCAAATCTCAAACCCCCAGCCCTCAACCTTCAACCCGGCCAGCATAAAACCCGTTGCTGCAGGGTGGCCGCAGAAAGGGCTGGAAAGATTATGAGCCTACAAACCCATACGTGGGCGTCCGGGCACCCAACTCCGGAGGGTTTTAGGACTTTTGTGCTGTGCGTTTAGGGTTTTGGGTTTGGGTTTTTGGCTTTAGGGTTTTAGGGTTTAGGGCTTTAGGGTTTCAGGTTTAGGCAGATGGCTGTTCCCTTTTGGTTGAATCTAAGGGACTTCACAGGCTTTGTAAAGGAGGTGTTTTGTAGGCCAGTGAGGGCCACCTCTTGTCAAAGCGTCTACCGTGTTTTGCCTTGTTCTTGTCTGCTTGGCAACCCTACACCCTAAACTTAAACCCTAAAACGAGAGAAATCTCCTGCAGAGGTTTAGGGTAAGTCGCTAGTTTTGGGGTATTCATGATAGTGTATATCAGGGACTATATTCTTAATCCATCCTGGAACGTAGGAATTGGGGTTTCTATAGTAGGAATTACGTGGTTTGGGTGAGAAATCCGTATATGGGTACTTAGGACTCTTTGGGTAATCCTAAGCTAAACTGTGCAACTGGGCTTCCAGCGGTACTCAAGCCTTGGCCAGGCTGTGTACCTGCCCGCAACCGCGATCCATGCCGCGGCATAGAGCCTGAACCCGAGACCCCAAACCCCAACGACCCTGGACCGCAAATCAGCAGTAAAGGCCTCCAGCCCGCAACGCTAAAGCTCCTGAGCCCTCAAGGCTTATGCAGACGAAGTGTCGGGAAGCTATGCCATGAAGGGCAAGGCGCCTTTGTCGACTTCAGTGTTTCGGGTATGCATTTTGGGAATTAGGGCCCCGCGTTCAGGGTTTAGGGTTCTGGGAGTGTCGTTTTCAAGGGTTGCACGGGAGGGTTACAAGGGTAAGGCACCTTGTGAATTCAAGGGTTCCAAGAGGCTTCCAGAATTCGGAGATTCATGGGTATAGTTGTTACTAGGGCTCTAGGTCCCCGATTACGGTTGTACAGAAAAACTACCCTGCGAAAAAAAAACACTTATGAGTACACGTGAACCAGAGGCTTTCGGAAGGGTTCTATAATTAAGTAGTTTACAATTACAAGGGTCCCAGATCGGTTGTGCACGAGTCGCTTCTACTCCAAGACGGGCAGGGCCAGCCCGATTTTGACTACCCCTTTCAGATTGACTCCCATCCGCGACCCCACAGTTCGACAAGCGAGTTAGGGCCTGTAGTACGGTAAGATTTGTTTGTGGCTTCTAAACCGGCCCTACGGTACTACGGAGCCGTTGCAGAACCCTTAAGTGATTCCTAATTCCTAGAGGTTAGCCCCTTGAAAACCACAACGCCCCTCAGGGCATGCGGCAGTCGCAACAGGATCGGTTCTGGGCTGAGCTCTGGTTGTTGCACTGCTAGGTTTGCAATGGCCTCAGAGTCCTAAACCCTAAACTCTAAACTCTAACCCTATAAACGTTTGGGAAAAAGGAGCTTTAAACAAAATAACTCTAAACCCTAAACCCTAAATCGAACCAAGTTAACCAGGATCCCAAGAAAGATTACGCTCCATAGGGGCGACTCGGAGCTCCCACATTTGGGTCTGCATGGGTAGTTGTCAAAACAGGGGTCCCCCTCTGGGTACCCTAAACCTAAACTTAGGGGTACTTAGAAATAGTTTTTAATCTTTGGTTATCATAATCCGTAAGAGACAGCTAAAATCTTAATTTTTGCTTGGGTTCTAAGTTCAGTATAGATAGTGAGGACCCAGAAAGGGACCATAATTTTGACAACCACCCGCATGGTTGCAACCACTCTGCCCACTCTTAGATCCAAGCCTAAAACTACTACTCCAGTCCCGATAGCTGTAGTAGGAAGCTACAAGGTTTAGTATTTACTATCCTTCAGGGTTTGGATATGTCCCTAAGGGTCCATGTATAGTATACATAATCCCTATATAGGTACCGTACTTTAGGGCCAAAGTATTCAGTATATGGGTACATGGACCCTTATATATAATTTGCACCTGACTTGTACGTGCCCGTTTCGTGCTTCTTTGGTTTCCTGGGTCGCCAGCCAGGTCGTAAGCTGACCCTTCACTTACCTTTGGTTAGTCGGGAATGGAGGCATGGGGTACAATCATAACTACGATTACTACCATTCTAGACTTATCCTTGCAAGGATGTATTAGACCATTAGTTTCAGTCATTCTGAGAAGAAGAAGTCAGATAAGAACGATCAGTCTACAACCCTGAAAGAGCCTTGTAAAGAGCCTTGTAACTTGACAAAGCCTCGAGAGCCTCTTTAAAAGTACAAAGACAAAGATGATTCTCCCCCCTGGTCGAAGACGGTATCGAAATCTCTTGAAGACTTTGACCCAGACCAAGGTCAGATCGAACCCAGCAATGCCGGCACGTTTATTACGGCGGTACTTGGAGGTTCATGGGTAGTTATAAGTGGGGTTATAAGTCCCCTTAATATGGGTTATAAGTATAGTTACCCTACTCATCACACTACCAATAACTACCCATGAACCTGCAAGTAAGTTGTCAATGAATGCTGGAAGCATCTAGAAGGTTTCTCGACTGTTGTGGGCTGTACTGCCTTGTCGGACTGTTGATTGTTGCCGTTGTCGCTGCCACTGGTGCTGGTGCTGCTGTTGCTGCTGGTGCTACGAAGCAACCCAAAGCCCTGTGCACGGCAGGTGCAAACCCTAAACCCCAAATTCCTAAGTGCCTTGAGTCCGCCTCCAAGCCCAAAATTCGTAGTTCCTTAGCCGCTGCAGGTGCAAGAAGCAGTGCCAGTTCATTATCGGCATTGAGGAGGCAGAAGGGGTTTGGATTTCAAGCTCCGCTTCGTGCTCCATTTTTCCAGACGCCTCAGAACAGTAGGTTAAGTTATAGTTATGGTATAGCTTGCATTCTAGCTCTCAAGGCTCTCAAGGAGTTTCATCAGATTTCCGTTTGCAATCACAGCAGTCTCCTGTGGTTTCTGTGCTTGTTTAACAGCTCTTTCATGTGCAAAGCAGCCGGGGGGGACTCTCCTGAACCTGGAACCTGCAGCCTTCAAAACCCTCAGTTCGACCCCACCGATGCCCTTGGCCCTGATACCCGGATTTAGGGCCTCTACCTGGAGGTTCATGGGTAGTTATAAGTGGGGTCATAAGGGTTCCTTTAAGGGTCCCTTTAAAGGGCTCTATGAGGATTTAGGGTTCAGGCATTAGGGTAGTTATTTGTGGGGTTATAAGTCCCCCAATATGGGTTATAACTATAGTTACCCTACTTATAACCCTACTTATAACTACCCATGAACCTCCAAGTAGGGCTTGGAGTATTTAGGGGTTTGGGGCTTTAGGGTTTAGGACCAAATCCGGCTCTGAGTTTGAAATCTCGAAGCCCTAGACCCGAGCCCTGATCTGAGCTTGCATGACCCACGCAATTTTCAATTCCCTCTACTTGGAAGGGCAGGGGACTTAGTAAGTCGTTTATATGTAGGGTTATAATTGGGGTAACTCCATTTAGGGTACTGATAACTCTACTTATAACCTAGGTCCCCAAATCCCTCTACAATGCCTGCAGTTTCTCATGTAAGCCTAAACCTTTGTAGATCCGGTATAGATTCGGTAATATTGTTGCATCCAAGCAAAACATCAAAACCAGTTTGGGTCTCTAATGTAGGAACCTGATTAAGAAACCCTGGGCCTATAGCCCCAAAATCGTAGGACTCATATAAGGGACCCTCATAAAGGCCCAAGGTTTCTTAATCAGGTTCCTACATTATTATAGTACCCCTATAGCTCCCTGCCCTAAACCCTAAACCCTAAACCCTTAGAGACCCCTCTAACGGAACCCTTAGGCCCGAGGTTAGACTAGCGATCAAGGCTCAGGGTTCAGTGGTTTCGATCGTGGGTTCCGGGGGTCAGGGCTTCTTTGCGTGCCCTCAATACAATAAGCCCGGCTTAGGGTTTAGGGTTCAGGGTTTAGGGTTTAGGGTTAGGGTAAAACTTCAAGACCTTTAAAACCACCAAAACCATAAGACCGTTGAAACCCTCTAAACGCTACAGGACCCAACACTCTCCACCCCAACTCTCCAAGCAACACTAGCTTCCCCGGTAGTACCCTTTTGCCTTAAGAAAAACGGCACCCGTAGTGTTAAGGAGCGACTGGGGAACAAAGAGCAATGTAGCTTCACCTACCTAAAGAGTAGGTTACGCGCCATATAATACCCGAAGGCTAAAAATGGCCCACAAGCCTTATATAGTATGGTCTTTGGGCCCAAAAGCCTTAGTGTATGAGTCCTTAGAGCCTCAGGGATATGTACCCAGTAAGCCAAAATCTCTAAGCAACACCAAAAGGATCCAAAGTACCTACATAGTAGGGTTTCGATATTAGGAATTACTATTATGGTTTGGGGAGGTATCCCCGCCGGTAATAGTACGCCTATAGACCCCTTCGAGGAATCCTTAAAAATCCCTTCAAGGAAAGCCTTAAAGTATCTCCCATAGCAGTACCTGGGGCCCTTTGGGACAAGATAGCTCCCCCCAAATCCTAGACTCAAAGCCCCAAAACCCCCAAACCCTAGACTCCAAACCCAAAAACCCCCGAACCCCAGACTCAAAGCACCAAAAACCCTAAACCCTGAAGCCCAAGATCCCGAAGCAACAAGACCTATAGTCGTCTCCATTGTAGTTCCTTTTTTTGGTTATGCAGTTTTATGTTTAGGATCCTATAATAGAGTTTTTGGTTAGCCAAAAAAGGGAACTACAATGGAGACTGTGGTAGTCTCAAAACCCTGAAACCCCTAAACCCTAAAGCCCAACATCCCGAAGCAACAAGACAGCTCAAGGATCCATGTACCCATACACTAGATACTTTGGCCGACTTTGGCCCCAAAGTACCTATATAGGGACTACTTTAAGGCCCACGTATATACTACATAGGCACATGAACCCTTAGGGAGACAGCTCAAGGATCCCATCTTCCGAGTTGGTCGGCGTTTGTTGGGCCCTAGCGGGCTCTAAGCTGAGCATGACAGGCTTACCTTAACCCTGAATAGCCTACCTTTTTAGGGTTCCGTATTATGTGTTCCTTATGTAAGCCCTTAAAATGAGAGATAGGCCCCTAGAACCCCAAAGGGTCCAAAGTACCGATATAGTAGAATGTAGGGCTTCTATATTAGGAAGTACTATTATGATTTGGGGAAGTATTCCCCACAAGAGTACACGGGACCCTTTGGGTTAGGGTCTCGGAGGTGTTCGGGGATATGTTTTTTGTTTAGGGTGTGTGTACCGAAGGTCTTAAAACTCGGTTAACCCTGCAGCGGGTTAAGACCAATGAGGTGCACTACTTGGAGGTTCATGGGTAGTTATAAGTAAGGTTTTCAGTAGGTTAAGTGGGTTTACTTTGCTTATAACCCACATTGGGGGACTTATAACCCACTTATAACTGCCCATGAACCTCCAAGTATAGTGGGGACAGTAACCTGCCAGATGGTAGCTGGGCTTCTGGGCAGAGCGCTAAGACAAGTGGTAGTAGCTTGAAAGCGTCCTACATCTTCAAGCGCTGAGTCAGCCTCTCCACAAGAAAATATACCCTCTCAATCTATCCGCGAGTGGACCTGGGCACTCTGCACTGCCTGCTCTCTCGGGGAGGGGCTTCGCGACCGTCAGGGTTGTTTTGTTCTTGCCGAGAAGGTTTTTTTCCTTGTCAGCTGCTGGAAAGGGATAGGTTCATCGGAGGAGCCGTACTTGTGGTGCGAACCTGCGCGAAGGGACTCATGAGTGATTGCTCGTATTCAAGAGTGATTGCTGCACCGTTCACTGAAGGTCTCACATGAAGGCGATTGCGGCCAAGACAGGCGGGATCTGGGATTGAGACATGTTGAAACAGGTCTTGCTTGAATTCCAATGCACTCGATGCCCACGGACGTTGCATATCGATTCATGAGTTCTTCCTCGACGTCGTGCATGTGTCTGGAGGAATGCATGCATGCGCACGATTTCCGACTCTAGATGCTTGCGTGTTCTATCGTGTGTTCATCTACATGGTTTTGTATAGATGTCTTCTAGGACCTAGAGTAGGCCCTTATTCCCTTTTTTGGGGTTCAGGTTCCCTTATAAGGCCCTTTAAACCAAAAAGGGCACCCTTTTTATTCCTAGGCTACTCTTGGGTCTAGTCTTGATGCAGACAAACAGAACAACAAGGACACAGACACCCTAAACCCTAAACACTAAACGCTAAACCGTGGAAGATTCCGGACAGGCTGCCGACTCCGACTCCGCGGCAAGGGCTCCTGGTTCCTAGAGGGACCAAACCAAGAGGAGCTCGGATTGGCGGTTAGGGTTTAGGGTTTAGGGTTTAGGGTTTTAGGGTTTTAGGTTGTATAGTAGAGGCCATAAAGTTGGAACATTATAATCCTCATAGCCTTAAAGTCAGGAAAAAAGAAGGAATCCTGGCACTAATCATCCTAAATCAATGTTCCAACTTTCTGGGGTTCGCTGTAGGGTTTAGGGCTTTTAGGGTTTTAAGGTATAGGGTTTTCGGAACGATTCGTGTTTAGGGCTTAGAAGTTTAGGACTGAGCTTGATGTGCTGGGTCTACGAGCTCAACTGCAGAAGGGAATGGGGTTCGGCGTTTTTGTGCAGAAGGTTTAGGCAGTGCCACTATACTATGATGATTATACTGTACCATAATGCCACTGCCACGGCGTACTACAACCACTGCTACTACCACTACTACGACTACTTACTAGCACCGCTGCCACTGCCGCTACCGGGGCTGCCCCAACCCCTACCATGACCACTAATGATTTAATTACCGCTTTTGCCACGACTGCTACATCTTCTGCGCAGCCGACGTCCACCTATGATTGCGCCTACTGCTACCAATACTGCTCCTAGTAGTAGTGCTGCTATGACTAGCAATACTGCCAGTACTAGTAGAACCACCACCACCACCACCACTACCACCGTCACTACCACCACCACTGCTACTATCACTACGACGACGACTACTACTACCACCACCACCGCCACCACCACCACCACCGCCATCATCACTAGCACCACCACCATCACTGCTGCTGCTATAGCTACGATTTCTGCTGCATTGTTTGACAATCTTGTGTTTGCTGTTGCCATGGTGCTGATGTTAGTCTGGTTGATCATGATTAAGACCACGGCGATGAAGATGCTGGGCGACAATGACGATGAAGAAGCATAAGACAAGTTAAGGAATGTGGTGGAGATGGAGATGCAGATCGTGATGATGGTGACGACTTTGGCTGGGGTAGGGCGCAGATGTGGGCTGGTGCTGGGAGCACACAGCATCATCATGAGGTCTCTTGCTGCCAAATGTACTTTCACCGAGCGGACGAATTACTACTCGTCAACCCGAGAAAGCAATCCTGAAACGTCAAAGCTCCTCGTAGAACCCCTTAAACCCTAAACCCCTAAACTCCAAAGCCCCAAACCCCAAACCCTAAACCCCTAAATCCTAAAACCCTAAACTCTAAACCACATCACCGCCAGGAGTCTTCAGATCCCCTGATGCTGTGCGTAAGCTCGTCCCCTCCTCGGCTAGCGAACTCGCCATGCCACTTCGACGTGATACTGTTGATGATAGAAATCCTGCATTACCTTAAGGACCCTAAACTATGGGAATTATGGTATACCTGGACGTCCCTTTGTAGTTCCTTTTTCTGGTTTGCTTGTTTTGTTGCATCATTTATGGTTTCCTACGAAACCATGGTTTCTGGAAATTCTTTGGTTTTTTGGAAACTAAGTTTCACCAGTCTTGGAATTTTAGGTTTCTTGGACACTTGGTTTCGCCAGATCTTGACATCTTCGCTTCGTCGCGTGCTCTCTCAGCTTGTACCGAACATGTCACGTAGATGCATTGGTATATATATATATATAATGTATATAAGTATATATATATATATATATCTATCTATCTATCTATCTATCTATCTATGTATCTATGTGTTATATGTATATATATATGTGTGTATATATATATATATATATATATATGTATATATATATATATATATATATATATATATATAGGTATTCGTTTATATTTATAATTAGATATATATATATATATATATATAATATAAATATATGTGCGAATATATAAGTGTATATATATATATGTGCATATACATATATATATATATATATATATATACATATATATATATATATGCACATATATATACATGTGGAAGATTCCGGGGACTACAATATTCTACTGGTTTCTGCGCTGGAAACTTGTACGAATATTGGATAAGACTCTATTATATTTATAATTAAGTTCCCGAATCTTCTTCTACATACTATGTTATGACGAATCACGAACCACGAAAACTTGCTGTCGTGGAACCGCCATGTATATGCTTTCCTGGTCGCTGGCGTCATTCCGCCAGGGCCCTATTGCACAGTGGGCAGGGGCTGCTGCAGTAGAGAAGCGCACGGGATATCAGCCCTGCATCGTTTCATGTCAACTGAACGCTTTGTTGAGCACCTCCGATTCTGCAGGGTTTGCGGCTTTGTTTTCGGGTCTTTCTGTGGTGAAATAGTTCGCCATGGATATTGTTCCCGCCCCCGCTGGTGCTCCAGATGCTGCTGCGTCTGACCCGGTAGCCATGCGAGAAGATTTGCAACTCCTGGAAAACCTCATGAATGAGGTGTGTAAGGTGCTGCGTGCACGTTTAAATCAGTCATGCGTGGGCTCATGCCTCCATTCGTGTATGGTGGTCGTCTGTCCAATGATAACCTGTGAGGAGTGGGATGCAAACGAGGAGCTGAAAGCCCGGGTCTTCGGCCAGAAGAAATATTTTCTGTGGCCGGGTGATGACAAGGGCAAGAAGAAACAGATCTCAGCCCTTGCGGTGAAGCTCAACAAGGCCTCATGTACATAGCTATCGAAGGTTGTATCTTTCGAAGGTTTTCATTGCTGTTGCCACGCAACCCCATATATAGTAGAATTCGAGCTTTCTGACAAGGATTTGCTGAAGCCGATCGTGGGGCGATGCCTGCAGCATTCGCTTCTGGCCACAGTGCCGATGATGGAGAAAATGTTGCAGCACCAGACTGAAGAATGGAAGGTCGTTCTGCATGGTTAGATTCATGTTCATACTTTGTATTGTCTGAGACACATACTGAATGCTTTGGTCTTCAGGTGCCCGAGGTTGCCCAAGGTATGTGCAACAAGGATGCCCGTAACATGAAGACGGCGGTGACCTGCCATCGAAGCTCCTGGATGCAAAAGTTTGATGTGTTCGAGAATGCTGTAGCTATGATAGTATATATATATATATGTATGTATATGTATAAAGCTGTGAGGATTGGCTGATCGCTCTGATAGCCAGCGTGATGCCGATGTGCACGAGCTCACTGCAGCTTGTCAGCACGAAGATGGGCAGGAGTGTCGTGCATTGCATGCGAGTGATATTATATATATATATATATATATATATTACACAGCATGCTATGTATATGTAAGGCAGAGCTACGCCAAAGATCCGGATGGGTATTGGCCAGAGACTGCCCTGTGTCCCAGTTCTATGCGATTCAGGAGGATTATACAAAGCCTCGCTTCTCCAAGAGTGTGCGGGTAAGCCAAGGGAAAGGCAGGGGCAAGGGCAAACGCGCAAAGGTCCAGCAGCCTCCCGAGGAAGATCCACCATTGGTTCCCTTGGCCCCTCCGGAGGGTGAGGCTGCCGATGATGAGTTGGACGGTGAGCAGGGTGCAGCTTCGAGTGAGGCTGCAGAGGAGGTTTCGGATGAGGATGGGCACGAGAGCCAGGCCGCAGACGTTGGGGAGGAAGAGCCTGATCCAGATTATGCTGCTTTGGATCTCAGATCGATGAACTCCCTGCCCCTGTGCTCATTGAAGACTCCCCGATGCCCGGGAAGATGCCGGATGCTCCAGATGGATGTCCCTGTGCTCGAAAAGCTGAGTGAGATGGTGTTTCCACATATCCTGAACAGCCGAGGTTCCAATGGTCTCGAGGCCACTTCGGAGGATATGCTTGGGGAGCTGCGCGAACTTTTGCGAAGGCAGAATGCCAGGCCATGGGCCTGCTAGATGTGATTTCTGACAAGTCAACACTTATGTCTTCTTCATGTCTGTTCATGATGAAGGCACTTTGGTGAGCACACTGATCTGCATGAGACGCTTCCCATGGAAGAGGATTGCATATATATATGCCTGTATCTGCAAACCCGTGTTCAGTTGCTCTTTTGCAGACTATACATGTCTACATAGGAAGTTGTAGTGCAAAAAGATGAACTGGCACTGGTTTGCAGATACGCATGTCGCTTAGAAGACATATCTTGATAATTAACAAGGAACATCTCAAATATTGCGTGGTTTCGCACACCAGGACTTGGTGCCGGCTGCACCTGGGCCAAGCCGGCCAAGCAGCATCCTAGTGGAGGAGTTCCTAGCTGGTCAGTTCGAGCAGATTCTTTGGGAGTTGTGTGCATGCATGTGGACATACATTTGTATAGATGTATGTGTGGTTTCATAGAGATATGTGATATATGTATATGTATACATATGTGTATACACAAATACATAAATAGAAAAGATACAGATATCATGTACATAGAGATACATATATATATATATATATATACACATTTGCCTCTATTCATCTGCATATGTATATATACATATGTGCACACACACATATATATATATATATATATATATATATAGGTCGTATACACTACATTACAGGCATACATACATATATTCATACATATACATTCATACAATATGCAGAATATATAAATAGACACATACATCTGTTCTATCTTGATCGACCTTTTGACTACATGTAAAAATATGGGTTGTATAGGTTTACAAAGCAGCGAACCTATACATGCTATGCACTATAGTTTCGCATACATATCCGTAGGTCTTTGCATGCGCCCAGGTCCCCCATGCTGGCAGGACGATCCCCAACAGAGTATTATAGCCCCCAGGCTATGCAGCTAGTGCCTCTTGGAGAGCCTTCCATTGCAGTGGTGTCAGCTGCTAGCCCGACTGCTGCGATTGCGAATCGTTTGAAGCCGCCTCCCGCATCAGAGAAACGACATGTTTTCGACCTGCCACCGCCTCCTCTGAAGAGATCCTTGGCAAAGACGTTTGATGAGGAGTTCCAGGCATGGAAGCAGGGCCGTTCAAAGCCTTTGCCGTGGGCAAAGCCAGGTTTCAGCCCTCATTTGCTGAAGGAGTTGGAAGAGGCCGGCGAGGACGCAGCCGATCGTTGGAACAAGACAGGTGCTTTGCCATCCCCTTGTCACCCAGCTGGCATGCTGAGTCATGCTGAGCAGCTGGCTTTGCGACACGAGAAGAAGGAGCAGGGCCGGGGCAGAGGCCGTGGGCGTTCCGGCCGTGGTCGTTCCGGGCGTGGTCGTTCGGGCTGTGGCCGAGGTCGTGCTGGATCAAACAATTCCAGCCATAGCAGTGGGGACGATTTCTCGGGGGTAACTCCGCCCCATGTGGAGTTGCAGGTACCAATGGAAACCCCTCCATCGGCACAGGTGTCGAAGGTTCGCAAGCCAAGGGCTGCCATGAAAAGGCCAGCAGCAAAGACGACAGAGGACGATGCGAAGATCAAGCAGCTCAAGCGGGCAGGCTCTCAGAGCAGTGATGGGACCCCTGTTGCAGGGGCTGTGGCTGAGCCTAAGCCCGCAGCGGATGGGCCAGTGACTGAGCCTGTGCCTGAGCACACGGCTGAGGATCCAACAGCGGAGCACGAACGTGGTCCCACAAAGGCGCAGAGGGCCGATCTCAGGGAGCCCTTTGATTCGCACATGGAGAACTCGTGTGTTTGTATGGGTCCGTGTCTGCTGCCAAATCATGCTTCTGTAAAATTTGAGGCGCTTCGTCGTGCATCAGAAGGATTACAAGATCGAGGTGTATTGGACACGCCACCAAGTCGGTGTTCGCACACGATCTGGCAAAAGTGCCTACCTGACGACCTGTACATCCTTCGAGGCTGGCATCCGCCTCTGTGCTGAGGTTGTCGCTACACTGAACTAATGGCTTGGCTTGAGTACCCAATTTGTCAATCGAACCTTCCTAGTGCTGCAGACTTATCTAGATTTTTTCTAGCTTCACTGCCACATTGGCAATAAAAAAATATCACAGCCTTTCCCTGTCTTGGTAATTACGAGTTCTCTGTTCTTAAGCTTTCAAGCATCTCTTGTACAGGGAGTAACATGTGTGCATCATGTAGGTTTGGTTGACCGGTGCAGAAAATAATTAGTGACCATGCATAAGTACTATATGTACATATGTCTATATCAAGCTACATTCAGACAAAACAACTACAGGATCATGTAGAACAGGGCACCCAAGCACAACACTGGACCGCCTGCAGGTGTGTACTATGTACGACTCTGTCTCCATTACTCAATGAAAGGTATGAAGACCAAAGGTGTAGTTCCATGCCGATATTCTAACAAGGCCCCTGAATAGCCGTGTGTGTGATATATGGGTAGGCAGATTCCTCATCTGGTGGATATACATAGATGTACATGT